TAATGAAATGACCAGTTGCTTGAATCTGGATGAGAACATCTGGAGCGTCAAAGGTTATCTTCAACTGGACTATCACATACATCATTGTTTGGAAATTAAATCTACTCAGAGCTACTAAGGAAATAAACCTATACTTAAATACTCCATAATTTGCCATTTCTTGTATTGTGTGCATTTTTGTTTGCTTAGTTTCTTATTAATCAAGTGCTCTGGTATGACTGTGGCTTATGACTTGACTGTTCTGATCTCTAATTCCCTGATTTAACATTACTATTGGACTTGCTTTCTTAGCTTTCCTTTGTGTCATGTTTATACCTATTTACCTGTTCCTAGGTATTATTCATTACATTTACAGCTCTGCCACTCTAGTATACCTCTTGCTATAACTACCTATTTTGCATTAAAGGGTTTACTTAGGGTTCTTTGGGCTTGGTGCTCAATGATTAGATCTCTCTTTAAATTCCATAAATGGAGTTATTTCCCAAGCGCTTGAATTCTACTATACACTCATATCAGAATGTCTTGTTGAAGGGATTTTTGATTGTTAATCCTACTAAGAGTCTGGACAACTGCAGTCTGTCATTGGAGAGCCTTTACTGAGCTACGCTCAATGGTGTGCTTCACAAGGGGAGAATGGGAGAATGAACTTACTATCATATAATTCAAAACAGTCTCTATCACCCAGTAAGTAATCGTTCAATAATTTTGAATATATCATATAGATCATAGCTCAAAATCTTAATTCCTACACTATAAGACAGGGCTAAAAGTTCCTTGCCACTGCAAGTCAGGAGTCTCCATTACATACGCACCAGAGGTGATTTTCTTCTTGCCAGAGCTGAATTTCCACTTGCCAATGGCTAGTGGGAAAGTGGAAATTTCAAGCCCTGATATCGAATGTACAGGAATAATTTATCTGTAATATTTAAAAAGGCAATTGGTAATAAATCAGCCCTCGATATATAATTTTCAAGCAGAACAGCCAATAATTTCCCATGATAAGACTATTAAATAAAAATAATATCATATTTTTGTTAAAGTAAATTAGAGCTGCAATTGTTGCTAAGGATTAAAGAGATATTAAAGAAATTCCTCTAGAGACTGAGCCACAAGGAAAGGCTTTATATGTGTGCTTATTTACAGAAGAAAGTCAGTGGCTTTAAATAGATCAGAATACTGTTCAAATTCTATTACATAATAAAATAATAAAATCGCGTAAACTGTTAATTAGATTGACACCTTTTGGGAATAAAAAAAAATACTTCCTTGAGGTGCATGAACTGTTTACTTCTCCCTTAAAAACTGATCAATCTTTAAAATGTAGAACATTTTTGGTATGAATGTTTTGTTTAGTCAGCAACATGTTAAGGATCTGACATATCAGAACCATTTTAATCCTTTGGTGTTGATAACACAGGATTGGAAATGTAGGCTTCTGTTCTGTCTGATTTTTGTTTAACTGTCCTTTTTTGCATTATTGTAAAAAATATATATATTTTTATATTCGCAATAGTCATCATCATGCATGTTTAGTTACCTAAGTAAGTTTGTAATATCATATTTGCATTCAGCTTTAGTATATATGTGTGTGTGCCTTTTTAAATATTGTGCGTGTGCCTTTTAAAATATTACAGATAAATTATTCCTGTACATTTTGAGGTTTTTTTCTTGTTTTGTATATCAAGATTTTTATTTTTTTAAACGGGAACAGTAATGAAAAGTTAGCAAAACAACTTGAGATACGCAGATCTACAATGCAGAAGTAATCGTTCGGCCACACAGGACCTATTCGCAATAGTTATCATCATGTATGTTTAGTTACCTAAGTAAGTTTGTGATATCGTATTTGCATTCAGTTTTAGTATATGTGTGTGTGTGTGTGTGTTTGCAATGTACTTATGTTAACCATAACCCAGCTGGTTTTAATAATTCAACAGTATACACATAAAGATATAAAAAAAACAAACGTGAAATGATGTATTTAGATGACAGTATTGAAGTGTACTTTAAAGGGCCACTATAGTGCCAGGAAAACATACTCGTTTTCCTGGCACTATAGTGCCCTGAGGGTGCCCCCACCCTCAGGGTCCCCCTCCCGCCCGGCTCTGGAAAGGGGAAAAGGGGTAAAACTTACCTTTTTCCAACGCTGGGCGGGGAGCTCTCTGCCTCCGATCCTCCTCTTCTCCTCCCCGTCGGCTGAATGCGCACGCGCGGCAAGAGCTCCGCGCGCATTCAGCCGGTCACATAGGAAAGCATTCATAATGCTTTCCTATGGACGCTGGCGTGCTCTCACTGTGAAAATCACAGTGAGAAGCACGCAAGCGCCTCTAGTGGCTGTCAATGAGACAGCCACTAGAGGAAATAGGGGAAGGCTTAACCCATTCATAAACATAGCAGTTTCTCTGAAACTGCTATGTTTATAAAAAAATGGGTTAACCCTAGAAGGACCTGGCACCCAGACCACTTCATTAAGCTGAAGTAGTCTGGGTGCCTAGAGTGGTCCTTTAAATAGACACATTAAGTTACTTAACTTGATACTTTGTTTAGTATCTGGAAATACCTTCTTTTTTTTTTTTGTTAATTGCACTATTACCAGGGTCTATAAATGTTATTCGAATTTCACCTAATAACCTTTATTCCACTAAAATTAAACTCTACAACATTTTGACCAAAACTCGTCTTTGTGAAGTCATACTTGACAAAGACCAATGTTGGTCAAAAGTTTGAAAATGTTGCAGCTTCTTCTCAATTCTTTTTGCTTTAATAAAATTAGGTCTAAGGTGGGATGTGTGGAAATTGCTCCCTTAATCTTGGCTGCTTTCTACATCCCTCGTAATTGAATTTTGAAGAATTTTGATTTTATGGATTTTGTCTGAAATCCTGATCTTTAAACGAAAGGACTATGGACAAAACATTTTGTTTGTTTTGTGAATCAGAGTTCTGTCCGTGGTGCCAAAAAAAAACTATGTTTGATGGAAAAAGAAGACTGATGCTTAGGGTACAGCCACTAAATGTTGAATTTATTAACAGATCATGTGAGAAGTGATCAAAACAGGGTTAAAAAGGAGCGTCATTAAAAACAAATCTTTATTGTTATATTTGTATATTTTATCTTTTTCCATCTATTTGGGACATCTTCTTACTTGATCTGTAAACCAAATGACATAAAAAAAATTCTATCAGTGTATTGCAAAATATATAAATAATAATTATTATATTGATTGATCCATTTTTGCACCATTATGTTTTGCCAAAATAGTTTTTCCAGAAACGATTGTACACGTTAAATTGGTCATAACTTAATGTTGCATGCCTAAAATAAATTTCTGTCTTCAGCTGAATCGATTTGCATGAACCACATTTGTTCACAGTGCACAAGTCTAACGCATAATTATTAAAATTATTTATTTGATTCCTGAATCCACAAAATCATGATCATTATCATCCTCATAAAACACATTATATAAAGGATTAATATTTATTTATATCTTAGTGTTTAGCTGATGAAAATCAAGACTTCTACATTCTTTGATGAAGCACTTTCTATGTTAAAACAAAACAAAATAAAAAAAATCAAGTTATTAACTTTTGGGGAAATGACATTTGATAGCAAAAGTAATATCCTTTAAAACTACTGGATTTTTTTTTCTTTTATGAAAAGCACCATAATCTGAAAGAACATAATTATCTTGCTGTCAGAGTCAGAGTTTCTCATGCTGAAAACACTGACACCTTCTGAGACTCCGCGAACTGCGCCTATCATAGTTCAATCATTTCTATCAGGATCCCAGAGCTGCTCTGTGTGTCCTAATGATCATGACATCAATTATTTAAAACAGCCATTCCTTACAAAGTGGGGCTTCAAATACAACTGATGCAGCTACCAGGAGTACAATTTTAAACTGATGGAAAGTATTTAGTTTTTTATTTCGGACTTTATAAAGGATTTCCGTGATCCAGCACGAAAGCAAAATATAGTTACATAGTTACATAGGCTGAAAAGAGACATGTGTTGATCAAGTTCAGCCTTCCTCACATTAGTTTTTTGCTGTTGATCTCAATATATAATTAGCTTATTGCTCGGCATTGAGAGAGTTAAATGATCATGAACATGTCTCCTATAGAGGAAATTTATGGTGATTATGAGTCACTGGCAATACATTTTTGAACCTTTAAAGCTTGCTTTCCCATAATAATTTTTTTTATTGGCATTTAAAATAATATATAATTAGAGTCACATATGTAAAAATAACATTGGTATATTATATGTTTAAATGCAGAATTAACAAACAAGAATTGCAAGACATACATTATCATTACCACCCACTCTGCACACACTGCACACACATGCTTTAAGTATCCCTTTTGTTTTTTATACATTTTGAGTTTTTTTTTCTTGTTTTGTATATCAAGATTTTTATTTTTTTAAATGGGAACAGTAATGAAAAGTTAGCAAAACAACTTGAGATACGCAGATCTACAATGGAGAAGTAATCGTTCGGCTACACAGGACCTATTCGCAATAGTCATCATCATGCATGTTTAGTTACCTAAGTAAGTTTGTGATATCGTATTTGCATTCAGCTTTAGTTGTTTTTTCCTGTAATCTGTCGCAGCTTGCAGCAGGGAAGGGGGGAAAGTGGGGTGCTGGTAGAATGGGCAGTCATTACCGGGTCTAGCTAATTCGTGACTCAGGGCCTGCCGTCTGGAGAAGGCATCCAGACATCATAGGGCCTAATTGGCCATGTGTGCCAGAGTGGGTCGGGAGTGGGAAAGGTACTTATCTGCTTATGTGCCGAGGTTGTGGAGACATCGTCCTGTGGTGAGCGTCCCAAAGGGCCTCACCAGGTCAAAGATTGGGGGATCCAGGCGTAACATAATTTAGCGGCAGCTCTGCTATCGTAAAGGAATCCACTCGTTGTGTTGTCTAGCGAGGAGGTTTAATGGAAATCCCCATTTATATGGGTTGTTATACTCCCTCAACAGCAGGGTCACTGTCCTCAGTGCTCTGCGGGCTTCAAGTGTAAGGGGGGACAGATCTCAGTACAGTGCCACCTCCACACCTCAGAATCGCTACGTTGGTCTTGGGCCTTAGCCATGATCTTTTCTTTCACCTTGTAGGAGTGTAGACAGCAAATTATTTCATGAGGCACGCAGTGGGCATGGTCAAATTCAGTGGGGTCCAGAGTTTTAGCTCTGTGGGCACAGTCAAATTCAGTGGGGTCCAGAGTTTCAGCTGCGGAAATTTCACGGAAGAGGGCCGTTAGAGCGGCCTCCACATTTTCTTCCCCGAGGTTAGCGGCCTCAATTTGGGTCTCCATCGTTTGCACGGTTATTTCCAATGCTTGAATGCGGCCGCCATGTGCCAAGATATCACTGCGCAGGACTACCTAGGCGCCACACCTACATCTACTTCCCTGTTTTTTTAATTTTTTACCTGACAAGAGAGACTCGAATATGGTGATTTTATAAGCGCTGAATTCTTTTCTTTTTAAATAAATTATAATTTGTTTACGTCAAATAAATTAAAGGTACACTCCGACCAACTCCCATAACAACTTAAGCCATAATACATTCAGCCTACAATGGGCACCCATAGTATGTACCATTTTTCTCAATGGATGCTCATTGATAGGGTGCTCATTGACACTCTTAGTCTACCAACAGCCAGCTGGCTAACTCTTCCTTGTACTGCTCTGCAGAGAGGGCAAGCAGTTACACAGATTATCCTGTTCCCATGGTAACTTGAATAAGCTTATATTGTTATGAGGTTATAAATGTCAAAGAGGTTATTTAATAAACAATACAATGTGGCAAAGCCAGCCGATAGCAAACCCAGCAAGCCTGGTATACAACAGCATAATGATTAAAATAGAAAAAGTCTCATACACATGTATTTTTTTTTTTATCCAACTAAATTAGACTACATTTTGTGAATTAACTATTCACTCACTGGAGATTACAATTTAACAGATATATCCCCACGGGAGCTCCTAAAATAAGGAGGATTTTAAAATGTTAAAAGTATTTTGATGCAATACAAATCTTTATGCGAAAGGAAAATGTTCCAGAAAATCACATTTTCCATAATTAACTGCATTTGCCCGCTTAGGTGGCGTTCAGGGTATTACACTGTGTTCAGTCCTGTTTCTCAGAGCTCAGCCAAGCTCAGCATCTCATTTTATACAGTAAACAACTATTACTATAAATACATGGGACAGGTGTGTTGTAAGGAGAAGCAACAGCTGGTGTGAACAGATCCTGATTGCTCTAGAGAGTCTCTACATCACCCACCAGTTCACGATTCGATCAAGCAGTGAGGTGTGGCAAGTTACAGAACAATATTAGAACTGCAGAATTGTTATTGGCAGCAACAGGGATTCCCACTCACTCGTATGGCTTGAAAACACAATTTCATGGATGAAATTCTGGAGCCCAGAACAAAGTATATTACATTAAAAGTAGGCTGGATAGCTTCATAAATAGTAAAATAGATAGATGACTTGAGTGGAACGATCCCTGCCTAGGGATGTGATTTGGTGAAGAATCCATGAATAATCCTCTTGGTGATGGATATGTGGAAGAAAATCATGATAATATAGCAGTAGTGCAGTATGTACAGTCAAATAACAGCAATATAGTGACATAAAAATGTGCACTCACATATTTTGGAGTCTGATCGGTGTCTCCACAGGTATAGCATGAAGTGGTATGATCCCCCCTCTATGATGTTGGTGACATGGATGTTTCTCCGTAGACAGACTGATAGACTGACAAAGAGACAGAAAGACAGACAGACAGAAGTGGTATGATCCACACTCTTTGATGTTGGTGACATGGATGTATCTCCACAGACAGACTAATAGACTGACAAAGAGACAGAGAGACAGACAGTCAGACAGAGAAAAGTGGTATGATCTACACTCTATGATATTGGTTACATGGATGTATCTCTGTAGACAGACTGATAGACTGAGAAAGAGATAGACATACAGAGAGACATACAGATAGATAGATAGATAGATAGATACATAGATAGATATTTCTAAATACTCTCATTAGTCCCTGACCTTATCTTATATCTAGGATAGCCTTATGCCTATCCCACACATGCTTAAACTCCCTTACTAGTATGAAGTGGTATGATTCCCACTCTATGAGATTGGTAACATGGATGCATCTCAGTAGACAGATTGATAGACTGACAAAAAGACAGACAGACAGACAGACAGACAGATAGATAGATAGATAGATAGATAGATAGATAATGTCTAAATACTTTCATTAGTCCCTGGCCTTATCTTATAGCTAGGATAGCCTAATGCCTATCCCACATATGCTTAAACTCCTTTACTGTGTTAACCTTTACCACTTCAGCTGGAAGGCTATTCCATGCATCCACTACCCTCTTAGTAAAGTAATACTTTCTGGAATTATTTTTAAACCTTTGCCCTTCTAATTTAAGACTATGTCCTCTTGTTGTGGTAGTTTTTCTTCTTTTAAATATAGTCTCCTGCTTTACTGTGTTGACTCCCTTTATGCATTTAACAGTTTCTATCATATCATGCCGTCTCGTCTTTCTTCCAAGCTCTACATAACTTTTTTTGGTAACTTAGATAGATAGTCAGATTTCACAAGTAATTGTTGCTGAGCAAGACATTGAATGATGTATATCCACCTACCTCAAAGCTTCAAAGCCTCATAGAAACATATATATATATATATATATATATATACATATTTGTTTTTCTGATGTGCCTTGTTTCCATTCGAATAATTTGCATGAGAAGGAGATCACAATCACTATACCAGCCTATTCTAGACAGTCCCTTGTGGCACAAATAAACAATGCCACGTTAAATAAAGTACTCAGTGACAGTTACACATATCTGATTGGCACTGGCTGGAGATTCTGCATGTACACAGCACAATTTGGTATCTCCCGGTGAAAAATGGATGTTACAGTTAGAGATGAGGCAGCTATTATACCCTTAGTGAAGTTGAACCCTACAGGCTGAAAATCTAAAAATAAAAAGATATTTGTCCTTTTGAATAATAACAAAATCAAAACGGTTTACATTTTAAACTCACTTGTTTTCAAGTATTGCCTGGAGTAAGTCATTGTATTTTCTAGATTTGATTTGATGTGCCGTTAGGTGATCCACCCCAAAAGCTGCATGGGCTTCATTTTGGAATCTGACTTAATAAGGCCAGCCAGATTTTTTCAGTCTTCAAAAGATATTCTTGGAGAGACTATATTAAAAACACAGAAATCTGCAGATGGGTAGATGGTGAAGGCCTTTGTTTCACCCTCCCCCCAATCTAGCATATCCTGCTAGAATGTATCCGCTATATTTGACCTACATTTGCTGTGCGGTGTTATTGGCAGGGTGAAAGTATGCACTGAAGCAAAGTGGGCTAAGTAGAGTTTTATGAGTTTTGTAATGCAAAAACTGCACATTATATTATTGAACAATACATTAAAGAGGCACTGTAGTCACCATAACCACTTTATCAGTTTGAAGCGGTTATGGTGCCTAAGCTCCTTTGAATCACTTTCTTTTGGTTGTTGTTTTGTTTTTTGGGGACAATGATAGGATAATAGAGCTCAGGTGATGCTCTCAGCATATCACTGAATACTATCCATGGTATGGCGTTAGGTGGAGCATAATGCCACTATATTATAATTAGGGCTTGGGCTGTAGCTTGTAGGAGATATAACAACTCTGATAAATGGTAAGTAAACTGGATAGCAAGACCTGGTACTTTAATTTCATTTCGAATTGATAATTTCCAAAATTTTTGGACAAATCAAATTTTTCAGTAGTGCTCATCTCTATTATCTAATACTAGGTTATTTCTCAGCTCTTTAATTACACATGATACACCTTATGGCCAAAACAAAATGATGTATAATATCATGAGATTCCCAGGATACGATCAAGGGGACTTTTCATTTTTTCATGTCGTTTTTTTTCTTTTGCAATAGTTGTAAAATATCCCAAATAATTGCAGTTTAAAACAAAATCTGCCTGCCTGCCTGCCTGCCTGCCTGAACCCAAGCAGCCTCAAATATCAGCAGTCTGGTGGATTTGCGAATAAAATTAAAGAAAAAAAACTCTGCTATCACTTTAATGTATATAGTGAAAACAGATATAGGATAAATACTTAGCAATACAGAAGGCTAATATTCTGCTTGGTGGATAGGCATGAGCAACGTTGTGGAAAATTTTATTAGAAAAAGTATTTCAGACACCCTTAGATTCGTGTAAATCTTTTTTTGTTCCATTTGAAGCAGAGAATGTTGGGGATGTATCGCTAGAGGAATAAAATATAAATCAAAGGGGATGGTTTTATGTTTTCAGGCTCCAAGAAGACCTAGAAAGAATGATCTATTCTACAATGGTCAGAACGCCAATAACTACGCTAAAAGAGGAGCAGCGAAGTCGAGAGGATATTGTGTGACAAGTTCATAAAAAAGAAAAAGAAAACAGAAATTTAAGAGAGAGTCTGGCAGGATAAATCAAAGAGCAAAAGAAGTCTCAGTCTATCCCAGCCTTAAAGGGAAAGATGTAAGCTCGTAGTCGTATATCCGCACTGAAAACAACAACTTTTGCCTTGTAGGTAGGTGAAAGAAAGAGGCTATTTATCAAAGGGTACCGATTTAGGGAGATCACTAAATTAATAGGGAAGTATTGGGGTCCTACATTCAGTTTTCTTTTCTTATCATGTAATAAAGCTTATCTCATTGGTTGAAATGTTATTATACTCTCTTTTTTTTATTTCAGGGTAATATAGGTAGTATAGGGTAGTTATATTATTAAGTAATTATTTATATTTCCAGGTGGACCTTTTCCTTAATAACCAGAACTTAAAGGAACACTATAGGGTCAAGAACACAAAAATGTATTCCTGACCCAATAGTGCTAAAACAACCATCCCCCCCCCCCCTTGACTTGTAGTCAAGCCTGCAGCTGCTGGCTCTACCCGTGGCTGCCTCTGACCTGCCTGCTGTTTGCTGACATCATCAGAAGTGGTGGTCTGAGCCAATCACAATGCTTCCTCATAGGATTGTCTGAGACTGTCAAGGAGGCAGATCAGGGGCAGAGCCAGCACAAGTTAAACACAGTCTTGACCAATTAACATCTCCTCATAGAGATGAATTGAATCAATGCATCTCTATGAGTAAAGTTCAGTCTCTGCATGCAGTGAGTGGAGACACTGAATGACAGTGCCACACAATGTGCAGCACTGCCCCAGGAATCACCTCTAGCAGTCATCTGAGGAGTAACCAGTGGGGCTATCACTAGGCTATAATGTG